TCAGCGCTCCTGTGATTGCACCGCCGCCATTACAGCAAAAACAGCAACAGCAACAGAAGACGGAAAAAGAGGACATTAAATCGACGCAATTGACGCCACTGCATGTTCCAGTTCCGGTCCCTCTGCCTGTTTTAGAGGCGGCTCCAAAGCCTTTGGGAATGATCCATACAACTCCTCCTTACGTCAGTAACTCTTACACCTCCCTTAGCACGAACGCACAGTTGAATACACCTTCGGTTACTTCACCCTCGCTGAACTTGGGTTCTGTGTCCGCAGACAAGGCAACTACAATGACGAGTGAAATGTTACTGGCAAAGTACGGGCCCCCCGGTCCGACTATCGTTCCGCAAAATCTCGCCAAGCAATCACTGCCTGCTCCCACAAACCCTGTAACAAAATCCGCACCAACGCCTTTTCCTGCCTGGCTACATTCAAGCACCCATCCGGATGATGGCAAAAAAGAGGCTTTGATAAGCGTGGCAAACGCACCGTCTTCAAGTGTCAACGCAGCGTCAACCGCACTGGGAACAAGTGTATCCACGCCCTCGATTGTGTCACGGTCGGAATCAGGACATCCGCCACCGTTATCGTCATATCCGAGCGTTCCAGTGGCAGTTCCGGTGGATTTTTCGCGCGCATCACAACAACAAGCACCACCTCCCACAACAATAGGCCTAGAACCCCGGCTCAGTGGACCTCCATATACGCCCCCTCCACCGGCTGTGCCTGTGGGCCCATCATACAGCAGTGGGGTGGTGTTGGCTGCGACGGGAGTTCCCCACGCGGCATTACCGGTTGTGAAGCGGGTGAAACCGAGCAGAAGTAGCGGGAGCTCCTCTTTTGAGAGAAGTACATCTTCAAGTAGCTCGTAAGAAACGTAAACGGTCAAAAGGCGGGACATTGTTAGAGAAGAATAGACTAGAGAGGGGAGTAGGCCTCCCTCTTTCCATCTTGAGGTGATGAGAGTTCCTCAAGATCAACTGAAAAATTAAGGGTTTCTTTGAGTTTTTTTTTTTTGTGTGTGTGTTCTTGTGTACGTGAATATTATAATTAAAGCTTCTCTCTCTCTCTCTCTCTCTTTTTTTTTTTTCTGGTTTTATTGGGAGTAAAACTGAAGTGGCCTTAATGCTGCACCGTATACCGGCGTATCGTGACCCTCTCTTGCAGGTCCTTAGCGATGCGTTAAAGCGTGCGCTCGATTTCTATCGTCGTGAGATGTCAGCTGGTATGTCAGTTGAGTTTGAGTGCCGCCTCGGGACCTTTTCAGCATCGAAGCACACCTACGCGCACCCGTTTCCAACCCATACTCTCACTCCAGCCCTGTTAGATGGACAATCGACTACACCTTTCTTTTTCTTTGCTGGGGTAGCGCAACCAAGTTTCATTGCGGCGCATGAAACATTGAAAACTATAGGTGCCTCCATGCCACCGCGCTCTTCAACGGTATTGTCGGTACGAACGGTGGGAAAGGATCGTCTAGAGTACGCCATGAATGAAGCATGTAACAGTGGTCATCTATTGACGATAGTAGAGAAGGAGCGAATTTTTTCGCATGATGTGCGTTGCCCGGGGTGGGGTGCAGACTTTCGTGTGTCGGTCTCACGGGAGAAAACGATTGATAGGGAGACGTGGAACCAGGCAAAATGGGAGTCGTTTACACCAAACATCTCTCGACTGCGGCAGCGCAAGTCTGTTCGGATCGATCCGTTCCTCTCGGTGGACATGGCAATGGTTCGCTCCTTCACAGATCACTCTCGCTTTGTGCGGCCGTGGTCGCCTGAGCTACAGGTGCCGTTTATTAGTGCCCCGCACGTTTCTTTTGATGTTGAGTTGGAAGTTAACATGCCAGCGTTGCATCGTGTAGTGAAGCAAACACGTCTGGTGGAGTCCACCTTGGGAAGGACGGCGCTGGATCTCCTTACAGTGTTGCAGTTTCTGGCCGCGAAGAGGGAGTGAAGGAAAGGACTGAAGTTCTCGTACCACCGTACCAGGAGAAAGAGAGGGGGCTGAGAAGAATAAATAATTAAATAAATAAAAAGTCTGATAGGGCGGTGTTGAGGGTCATTACAGAGCGACAGGCAAAACGTACGCTTAAAATCCAAAAACGAATCCGTCAGTGGACGGAAATGTGCGTCGCAACGATACTGTGTGTTTGTGTCTTAGTAGTGCAAAGCTCACATGGAGGGGAGGGGGGGGCAATGAAGACGTGTCGTGTCTCCATTGCACGTGCCACGATAGCTCACTTCCCTTTTCTTCACATTTCTGTTGCTGTTCTATTATTATTATTATTATGGGAAGAAAAGGAGTTTTTATTTTTGATTCAACCGAGTTGATACCATCCTTTATTGAAACATCAACTCCCATTCTCTTTTTCCCTTCTTTTATTTAGCATTCAAGCATGCTCTGGCGTCTCTTCCTGGGTACTGTTGTTGGCGGTGTCGTCTCAGCATGTCGCTCAAATATAAGAACGACCCTCGCGGCAACCGCACCGACGCTGGAACTTATTCTGGACCCAAGCAAGGACGTTTTTCCTGTGCGTTGTGTAATTGTCGGTGGTGGATACACGGGGTCAAAGCTGGCGTACATGTTTGACAGCATGTTTGATGTCACACTTATTGACGAAAAGAATTACTTTGAGCTTACAAATGACATCATTCCCATCGTGGCAAATCCGTGGAGTGAACTGAATGAGGAGGCATGCCGCCGGCTTTTTATCCTTCATCGCTATTACTTAAAAAGAAGTAACGTTTTAACGGGCACGGTGGACGGCGTTGATGAAGAGGCGGTCACGTTACGCGACGGTCGTCGTGTGTCATACGACCTTCTTTTTATCGCCCCGGGTGAGCGCAAGCCCTTTCCCTTTGCGACAAAGCAGCGCACCATCGCCGGTCGCGTGCAAGAGCTGAGGCACTTTAATCAGTTTCTCGGTACCTGCAAGAAGGTGGCGGTACTTGGCGGAGGGCCTGTTGGTACGTCGCTGGCGATGGATCTGGCGCGTAATAGGCCCGAGATGCAGGTGCATTTGTACCACTCCAAGTCGGAACTTATCCCCGCCCTACCAACCACGAGCCGTAAGTACGCAGTTAAAGCCCTGCAGAAATGCAAGAATCTTTCATTACACCTCTGTACACGTGTGACAGATGTCGATGGATGCGATTCAAACGGCAAGCGTATTGATTTAAATTCCTCTTCAGTGTTGACGCGGTTGTTGGGGTTTGTTAGGCCGCCGGCGGAACCGGCACGGTTTATGGTTCGGTACGACAAATTACACTTTGAACCGGCTCCGCAGCAGTCCATTGTGAGTCAGGCGTATTTTGGACGCCGTGAACCGCACTTGACCGGTGACAAGGTAGAATCCTCTGGCGAAGAGGAATTTGACTATGTTTTTTCAACCATTGGCGATGTACCACGATGCATTCAGGCAGGAAAAGGGAAGTGCAACATTCTGCAGGAGCATGAGGCACCCGATGGTCACTATCGTGTCAGTACGTTGATGCAATTGTACAAGCGTCCAAATATATGGGCCCCTGGGCGTTGCAACAATCTCCCGTGGGTGCGGAGCTATGGATCGAGCGATGTGCAAGTACGCACCATATTTCGCGGACTGAATTCGGTAGTGTACAACCCGACAGAACGTTTTTTGAGCTCACGTGATGGTGTTCAACCGCAGCGCATGGCCATTCCGCGGTTGTTAGTACGTTTAGGGAATAACGATGCAGTTGGTGCAACTCCGTGGTCAGGAGGCATGGTGGGTCTCTCGGCATTTCATGAGTTTATGCAGGACCGCAATCATCTCGTGAAGGAGTTTCAACAGCCAATTTTCTACAAACAGCAAGACCCAGCAAAGGTCAAGCAGCGCATCTCCAATTGGGCTTCCCACGAGACGACAGATATTGTCGATTTCTCCCACTTGTAGGAGGTTATCAACTGATGTGTGTTTTTTTTTTTTTGTTGTTGTTGTTTTTCTTTTGATTAATTGTCAATATGTTATTTTGTTGTTGTTGTTCACATTGGCACAACGGAAGCCTTCCCCGTTAGTTTACGCAATCCTCTTTTCTTCTTGCTGACTGTGGGTTGCTTTCCGTGGATCGTTGCCTAAGCAAAGTTCCGCTCGCACAATCACACTCCCCCCCCTCCCCTCCTGTTCCCTTAGTTTTGAAATATGTTGGCTTGGTTTTTCCCTCTTTTCCTTCCCTTTCTTTTCTTTTTAATGGCGGGTGGGTGTAGGGTTGTTGTTTTGGTTGTTATTCTGTGGAAAATGAGAAGCCATGCCTCACCTTTTTAGCGACTCGTCTGTTTCCTTCCTGAAGCGATTTCAGTTTATTCAACGCGGTAGGCATGGCGAAGTTGCACGGGAGGGAACCATTCCGACTGACACGCTTTCACTCATGGATGTGTTGCTTCATACCAACAGTACATTTACTTTGTTTTTTCACTTAAAACATGCTTTGGATACCGCACAGAGGAGCGAGAATGCGAACGATGGCACTTCTTCTGCACGACGGACCGATGATTTGGCAAACGCCTTGCATCACCTGCAAGAAGACATGACGGAATTTGATGATGGGCTCTCAGAGGAGATTTTAGGGCCGATTCTGCTTTCATTTCTTAACTTTTATTTGGATCGGAGCATTGATATGATGTCCATTCGCCGAACGTTATGTACACTCTTTGAGACCACACCATACCTCCGCGAGATGCATGATGACGAAGATAAAAATCAACCATTGAGCTCCAATATTGCTCTGTTGTTGTTAAATCTTTCGAGGGCACTTCTTCACTCTCAGGCCAAAGGGGAAATGTCTTTGAGGAAGAAAAACAGGGTAGTGCAACAGCATGCGTTACCCCTCCTACCCTGGTTACGATCTTGCGCAAGGAAGGCAACGCAGAAACCCACCTGGTATTGGTGGGCATCACAGAACTCACGCACACTCTCTATTCTCACGAATGGTGCATTTGTTTACCGTAGCACCATGTGTGAAGCTGCGGCGGATGAGGATGCCATTTTAGTTTCGTATGCTGCACAGCCGACTCCGAGGAAGCGAGGGCGCGGGGTAGACGATGATGATGTGATGGAGGCGGCGGTGGAAAAAAATAGAAGAATATCTTCAACGTCCCAAACTCACCTGAATGGCGGTAAGTTCTCGCTTGGTGTTGTTCCCATTCCGTATGCGGTACAAGGGATTATTTTGGAATATCTTTCTCCTCGTGCACTTTCTACTGCCTGTTTAGTCTGCAAGGCTTGGTGGGGTCTTATTGATCAATCCCTTACCTTGCGTTTTTATCTGTTTGCCAGTCGGGCTGTGACTCGGGTATTTATTCAATTTTTTGAGGATGATTGGGGAAAGGCGTGGGTGCGGCTGAATGAACTCACCACCTTTCGGCGACTTAGCCTGCAGCGTATGTACATATGCCTCGTTCAGAATCATCTGCATCGACAACGTGCATCTGCCGCGTCAATTGGAGACTTTGTTTTACGTCTTTACAATGAGTTTGGGAAGAAAAGCCCCCAGTGGGAAATGTTAGAAGGACTTTGGAATGCCATGGAGGTGGAAATGAAAATAATGCCGTTTCTGGCCCTTCGCGATGTGACATTTTCCTCACTTCTTCAAAACGGAACAATTCCGTGTTGCTGCAACGATATTTCACGTGCTGCTGCTTTGGTACAGATGAAACAGGTATTGAGATTGTTGCAAAGCTCTGATTATCCTTTTTTTTCATTATTTAATGAACTGTTAAGGCGATGGTCTGTGCTTCTTAGTGCGGTGCATTCACCTCCAGCTGCGATGTCGTAATGCTCCCGGTGATATGCACCCCACGATCCCTGCACAATCCCACTCATTTTGTGAGGAGGGATTTAAAAAATATATATATATATTTTTTTTTCCTTTTTCCTCCTCCTTTTTGAATCTTTGAAGTTACATGTTGTTTGTTTTGTTGGCGGTTTACAGAGTGATGGAAATGCATGCGTATACGGGTGCAGTGTTTCCTCCACATACACACACAACTCCTCCTCTAGTTGTCATTGTGTGTGTTGTTGTTTTTGTTTTTTGTTTTTTCATCTATCTAATTGTATGGATTTTGTATTTTTTTTCCCTCTTCTTCTTCTTCTTCTTCTTTCTTCTCCCTTTATTTATCTCTCTTGTTGCTTTTGTTGTTTTGTTTTGTTGTGGGGTTGAAACCCGTGTCGTGCGTATCTTGTGGACGAACGCTGTCACAAAAAAAAAAAAAAAAAAAAGGGGGAGGGCGGTGATTGCACAAACACACACACACAGAGAGAGAAAGAGAGAAAAAGAGACAGACAGACAGACGGACAGCGATGTCGGCTGATGAACGATTTGACAGCATGCTGTTGGCTATTGCCCAGCAACACGATGGGATTGATTCCATCCTTGACACCTTCTTCTCCTTTCTTGGGAGGAAAACAGACTTTTTCACGCAGCCGCAAAAGGCTCGCGAGTCGGTACAGCGGGCTCTGGAGCGTCATCTAGTGCGAGCCGAAGAGAGGCTGCAGAAGAAGCAGACAGAGGAAGCGCTACGAAAGCAGAAAGCCGCTGCTTCACGAGTGGAGGTGTTGGAGGACGAGGAAGAAGCGGCATCCAAGGCAGCCGCTAAAGCAGCAGCAGAGGCCGCCAAGCGCAAGGCGGAAATGGAGAAGGCGGCCAATGCGGTAGCCAACGCCAAGGAGGACGAGGATGGTATGAAGCCAAAGGGACTTCCTCCGACCGCGGGCAATGGATTTGACTACGAGCATTATATGTTTTCCCAAACTCTGCAGGAGGTGGAGGTGCGAGTGCCGTTACCCATTGCAAATGCCAAGGGAAGAGACCTTGATATCGTGCTGCAGCAGCGCCATATGCGTGTTGGAATGAAAGAGAAAACGCCCATTGTGAATGGTGATCTCTACGCCGCCGTAAAGGCTGAAGAGTGCATGTGGACTATAGAGGATGGTTCTACGGTTGTTATCACGCTCACGAAAATGAATCAGATGGAATGGTGGAAGACCGTCATTGCCGGTGATGCGGAAATCGATCTACAGAAGGTGGTGCCGGAGAATTCCAAGTTAGATGATCTTGACAGTGAAACGCGACAGACGGTGGAGAAGATGATGTACGATCAGCGTCAGAAAGCGATGGGTTTGCCAACGTCGGAGGAGCAGCAGAAGCGGGACATGCTGGCAAAATTTATGGCGGCACACCCAGAAATGGACTTTTCACAAGCAAAGATCTGTTAACATGATGATGATGATGCCTGCTTTGCCTGTGAAATGAGTTCACCGTAGGCAATTCTGCCGTCTGTTTTTGTTTTCCTGTTCTTTTTTTTTTTTTTTTTTTATTATTTATTATTATTTAAAGAAAAAACTAAACTATACACACACTCTCTCTCTCACAAAAGAAAAGAAAGCGATAAAAATTGGAGAAAAGAAGAGATTTGAGGGAAAAAAAAAAAAAAAAAAAGGAATAAATAAATAAATAATAAAAAAAAGGAGGCGTCTTATGTCCACTAAATTTTTCTTTCTTTTTTACCGATTTTATTTCTGTTATTTCTGATATGAAAAGGCAACAAAAATTTTATTGACGCAATAAAAAAGAAGAAAGAAAGAAGGAGGAGGGAAAACGAGGAACCAAAAAAAAAGAAAATGGGGGCAGGTGAAGTGTGTGTGGGGGTCCTGCGGTTCTCATTTTTTACTCCGCCTTCTTCTCTGCCCCTCGTTGTCAGTCACTTTTTTTTTTTTTCTTTTTTTCTTCCAACTGCGAGAGCGCAATAAATTAAAAGCAAAAAAATAAAGGGGGGGGGGGGAAAGGAAAAAGTAAAGTTAGTTAGATACAAACAATGAAATTCTTTTTTATTACAAAAATATGTTTATGGTGCGTGTTGACGCTAAATGTCATGCTTATTGGGCCCATATCCACGGTGACAGGATCCCTGCTGGATCCACTCGTGCCCAATGCGTCCCCCATGCATGTTGGGATCATGTGCATTCCCCTTTATGGTCATTGGAGGCCGTTGCGATCTGTTGGAGAAGCCTTTACAGAACGTGGACACCATGTTACATATTTTGTTGAAAACCCTCTATGGTGTGAGGAGATGATGATGCATCATGATGAGAACACAACAAATTGCATTATAATTCCCTCACGCGGCGCATTCAGGGATCCTACTTTTTTTGAGAAAATGAGCCTTGAACCTTATCCCCAGAAGACGTTGTTTGGCTTTTTGGGGGAAACCGTTCGTCATCATACTTTACATCTTGGTGATTATCTTAAAGAAGCCCAGAAGTTACATGCCAAGCGTCCATTAAGTGTATTAATTAGTGATGCAAATACCATTGTTGGTGGGTCTGTAGCACGTGCATTGGATATCCCATCTGTAATTTCCATTCCATTAACATCATCCATTCAGTTAGGTATCAACAACCGTATTCCAAATATGGGAAGTGGCTTTCCTGCACGAATGAACATCGGACAACGATTGTTAAATTATATTTCATTGAGCGCGTTTTTAGTATTTCCTCCTTCATTAGATCCCTTTAATAGCCAACGAGCACTTTACAATATTCCGCCCCTTCGTAATTGGAATGAGTTGGGAGGATTCTATGACACGGTGTTACTGCCTTTTATTTGGGGGTTGGATATTCCACAGGAATTATGCCCTAATTTCCATCCACTGGGATTACTGTCTTTTAAGAAAGACCACATTCCACCCATGGAAAAGGAACTTGCCACATTTCTACATCATTGTACAACAGGTGCCATTTATGTTAACTTTGGGACATTGGTTTCCCTTAATCCTCGCCAAGTTGATCGTATTGCCAAGGCACTTGAACAACTTCCGTATTGTGTCATTTGGAAGATGAAAGATACACAAAAAAAAGATCTTCCGAAAGGATACTTAAGAAAAATGAAAGAGAAATTATTTATTCGTTCCTATTTTCTTTCTCCTATGGAAATTATGCGTCATAAGAATCTGATGGTATTTATATCACATTGTGGTGATACCTCCATACATGAAGCAGTTGAGGCACAATTACCCGTTGTTGGTATCCCTTTCTTTGCCGATCAACCCGACGTTTGTCAACGTTTAGAAGAAGCAGGTGTGGGAAAATACGTAGGACATAAAGATGTATTTAATATTGAGGATTTATTACATGCAATACAATGGGTTGTGCAACATTTGGAACAAATAAAAGAAAAAATGAAACAACTTATTCGTATTTCCAACTTCCTTGGTGGTGCAGAAAGGGCTGTTGACATTATTGAAAGTCGTTACCGCAATCAACTTCTTAGAAGAAATGAATCTCTTGAACGATGTGTTATATTTAACGAGGATGTGGAATTGGAAACACGTCCAATTCGTAAGGCACAACTTGATATTTTATTTTTATGGTTTCTTGTACTTGTCCCGTTATGGCTTTTTGTTTTTAACTGCATTGGAAAATGGCTATTTTGTCTTGGAAGAATCATGCGGTCAAACAAAACTTTACCCCTAAAGAAGGTATCACACTTTAGCGTCTCCCCAAGACCAACACAACGTGAGAAGACGGATTGACATGAGACGTCCGTTTCTCCGCATTTACGCTTTTACTTTTGTTTTCTTTTTTTTCTTTTTTTTCTTTTTTTTTCTTCTGAAACTCTTGTGAAGAGAGCAATGACGGCAAGGATGACTGCCCAAAATATATGCATGCATGCATACATACATATATATATATATATCAGTGATAAAAAGGAGGACATTTTTATGTGCGATTCTTTTCTTCTCTCTCTCTCTCTCTGTCTTTCTCTATTCCTCTCTTTTGTTTTTTCTTTTGTTTTTTGTTTTTTGTTCTCTTTTTAATTTTTGGTTGACTGCGATGGAAAGAATCAAAAGAACCGATGACGATCAGATGAGTTTCATTTTATTACTTTTTGTTGTTGTTGTTTTGTTTGTTTTGTTTTGTTTTGATGCCCACCGCTGGCGGCGGGGTCTTGTGGCTGGAGGGGTCCCAAAGCATTCCGCTTTTTAGGGAATAATATCTCCAATTCTAACAAATTACACCGTGTCATGAGAGAGAGGTTATCGGAATATATACTTGGGATAAACATCGAGGGTAATGCCAAGGCCAATGCCTCTCTATTGCCCCCTTCTTTTCTTCCGTTCTATTTATATAGACAAGCTCAGGATTAAGCCAGCAGCACAGGCAAATATTCAACGTAATTAAACAGGCTTTACCTTCACACGGAAATATCAATCACGAGCCAAAATTCAGGCGTCAAGGTGAAAAGAATGCCCCAATTGCTCCTTTACGTGCTTGTTTTGTTTTTCCCTTTGAATTTTTGCCCCAATGTACCTGCTCATGCCCTGGCACCCGAATCGAGTCGAATTGAACTGTTTAAGCGTAAGAATTCGACGGTGCCGTTTGAAGACAAGGGCAAAGTCACCGAGCGGGTTGTCCACTCGTTCCGCCTCCCCGCCCTTGTTAATGTGGACGGGGTGATGGTTGCCATTGCAGACGCTCGCTACAGGTCATCCAATGACAACTCCCTCATTGATACGGTAGTGAAGTACAGCGTGGACGATGGGGAGACGTGGGAGACTCAAATTGGCATCAAAAACAGTCGTGTATCGTCTGTTTCTCGTGTGGTGGATCCCACAGTGATTGTGAAGGGCAACAAGCTTTACGTCCTGGTTGGAAGCTACAATAAATCGGGAAGCTACTGGACTTGGCAGCCTGATGGAAGCGACTGGGATATTCTGCTTGCCGTTGGTGTGGTTACGAAGTCCACTGCAGACGGCAAGACAACTGCGAATATCACATGGGGGAGCCCCGTGTCACTGAAGGAATTTTTCCCGGCATACATGGAAGGAATACCCACAAAGCAATTTCTCGGCGGTGCAGGTGTTGCCACTGTGGCGTCCAACGGGAATCTTGTGTACCCTGTGCAGGTTACGAACATGAAAAAAGAGCTTTTCTCCAAGATCTTTTATTCGGCAGATGAGGGCAAGACGTGGAATTTCTCAGAGGGTAGGAGCGATTTTGGCTGCTCCGAACCTGTGGTTCTTGAGTGGGAAAATAAATTCATCATAAACACTCGAGTTGACTATCGCCGCCGTCTGGTGTACAATTCCGGTGACATGGAGAAACCGTGGGTGGAGGCTGTCGGCACGCTCTCGCGTGTGTGGGGCCCCTCACCAAAATCGGACCAGCCCGGCAGTCAGAGCAGCTTCACTGCCGTGACCATCGAAGGAATGCGTGTGATGCTCTTCACACACCCGCTGAATTTTAAGGGAAAGTGGCTGCGCGACCGACTGAACCTCTGGCTGACGGATAACCAGCACATTTATAACGTTGGGCAAGTATCCATTGGTGATGAAAATTCCGCCTACAGCTCCGTCTTGTACAAGGATGATAAGCTGTACTGTTTGCATGAGATCAACACTAACGAGGTGTACAGCCTTGTTTTTGCGCGCCTGGTTGGCGAGCTAATGATTATTAAATCCGTGCTGCAGTCCTGGAAGAATTGGGACAGCCACCTGTCCAGCATTTGCACCCCTGCTGATCCCGACACTTTGTCGTCAGAGCGTGGTTGTGGTCCTGCTGTCACCACGGTTGGTCTTGCTGGCTTTTTGTCCGACAATGCCACCCAAAACGTATGGGAGGATGCGTACCGCTGCGTCAACGCAAGCACGGCAAATGCGGAGAAGGTTCCGAACGGCTTTAAGTTTGCGGGGGTTGGCGGAGGAGCGCTTTGGCCGGTGAGCCAGCAGGGGCAGAATCAACGGTATCACTTTGCAAACTACGAGTTTACGCTGGTGGCGTCAGTGACGATTCACGAGGTTCCGAGGGCCGCGACTCCTCTGCTGGGTGCGAGCCTGGACTCTTCTGGCGGCGAAAAACTCCTGGGGCTCTCGTACGACGAGAAACACCAGTGGCAGCCGATATACGGATCAACGCCGGCGACGCCGACGGGATCGTGGGAGGTGAACAAGAAGTACCACGTGGTTCTTACGATGGCGAATAAAATGGGCTCCGTGTACATTGATGGAGTACTCCTGAAGGGTTCAGGGCAGACCGTTGTGCCAGACGAGGGCACGCCTGACATTTCCCACTTCTACATTGGCAGTTATAACAGCAGTAATATGCCTACGGAAAGCCACTTGACGGCGAAAAACGTTTTTCTTTACAACCGTCAGCTGAATGCCAAGGAAATCAGGACCTTGTTCTTGAGCCAGGATCTTGATGGCGTGGAAGAAGACAAGGACAGCAGCGACGACGGAGAAGACAAGGACAGCAGCGACGACGGAGACGACAACGACGGTGCCCACAGTAATTCGTCGAGCTCTTTTGGCGGCGATGCATCGTCAGTGTCTGCTGGTGGAAGGAATCTCGTGTATGTTTCTGCTCTGGTGCTGCACCTGCTTGTCCTTGTTTATTTTTGACTGATATGGCTGAAGAGATGCATTATATAAGTTCATATATATTTATGTGTGGTTGAGATACTAAGCACACCGTAGCTGTGTGCCTGCACTTTCAGAATATATGTTTACCTTTCTTTTTTTTTTTTTTTTATTGGCGTTTCGCGATAATGGCAAGCTTTTGAGAAGGAAACCACGGGGCGTCCTCAAAAGCGTTCTTTTTTATGTAGAGCCGCACCTTCATACCACAATGTGTGGAAAGCAAAATATTTTTTCAGTTATTTGGAAATAAGTGGATGTATTGTATGAAGGATAGGGTTTATGTAACA